TTTAACATGTTTGCATTATAATGCTTAATTATTCTTATCATCTTTTTCAAAATATGTGTTGTTTACTGCTATACCACAACAATGAATCATATACTTTATATGCAAAGAATTGTTTATAGATGTCGTGATTTCAGTGTCCCCCCCCACCCCACCCCCCAATAAAAATAAAAATAAATAAATAAAATATATTTTTTTCAATCCATGATCTTTCTCTTAGAAAAATGATTTGCAAGCTGAAATTCAATCCAATCAGATAGACGTGTTTGGCTACGACACTGCTCAATTTAAGTTGAACAAGTCTGTCAAAGCTTGGATTCAGGCTTTTAAATCACTGCTCTACCGAATGCTTTTAGACTGCCTTTAGATTGGCTTCAGATTCACTCCTCAAATGTGCTGTAATACTCTATTTTCTCATCTCCTTTGCCCTTCCCTGTGGTATTTATGTTTTCATTTGTCCACATGATTGTAGGATGGCATTGAGGTGTTTTTCAGGATCCAAACTAACACCATGCTGCTGAAGGTCTTACGGGCTTACTGCCAAAAGCGAAACTTGGCGTACAAGACTGTGGAGTTCCTCTATGAAGGCGATCGCTTTCCTGTAAAACGAACTCCCCATGATGTAAAACACATCTCTCTCTCTCTCTCTCTCTCTCTCTCTCTCGTGCGCGTGCACGTGCGTGCACACGCGCACACATTCGCTCCTGCCCGTGCATATCCCAAAACACAGACAAGTACAATGTACTGGTTTTACTATCCTATTGTTAGTGTTTCATGTGAATACCCTATTTGGCTTTAAAAATTAGTCACTCAATATTTAGTTCCCACTACTATAAGAGTGAAAATGGAATGGCACTGTGCAGTGCATCCGTGGAGAATAAACTAATTTGGACATTATTTAGTTATCCATCTGTTGATAATTCTGTTTTACACTAATATAATCTAAGTGCTTATATTCTCAAGCTGAACTACTGCTGCTGTTCTGTTCCTATATTGCGCATATTGTATATGATTTTCCTGTCCATTCTCTCAAAAGTTCATAATGGTGATGGGTAGCCCTGTGTCAACCTATATATAACCCTCCCAACCTAAAACCAAGGGCAAGACTTGACTACTAAATCCTTCCAGTCACCAGCTAAACTAATTGGCATCTTAGGGTTTCTTTACTTTATATGTCTACCACTTTGCCACATTAGAAACAACTTGTATACCACAAAACTAGACACACTTATGTAAATGTTGATATTTGGTTTTGTTGAATATCTTGATAGACATTGTTCGACTTTTCCTAACAGCTTAAGCTTTCAGGACAATTGGTGACTTCACATAGTATAAAAACTCAGGTTGGGGGAGGTTTGTGGGTTCAAGGCTCTCCATTTGCATTCTTTCTTCTCTTTATATGACTACAACATATGAGGGTAAAAGTGAAACTTTTGTCGCCAAAAACATTAGGAGACCATTTTTAGGACACTTTTCAATATTGCAGAAGTTGACCTAGCTTGACCCTAGATTAGTTTACATGTTGAACTTTAGTGTAAAATGGGCAAAAATGACCAAGGTAAACGTTGGCCACTTTTGAGACACAAATTGTTTTTATCATATTTCTAAAAAAGTCCTTGAAACCCGTGCTTATCAATTTTTGAACTTGATCTTCATTCATTATACATCTTATTAAAAATTACGACACTGAATTTTTGGCACAATAATCCATGCACACACTTGCTTGACATATTCACCCTCGGCAATTTGTGTAATGGTGCCACAAGGTATGAAGATCATAGCAAGGAGTTCCATGGAGCTATCAGATCAAGAGTGTATAAGGAGCTTAGAGCCATGAAAGTGAGAAGATTCGAGAAAAACTGCAAGATGGGGGGGGGGTTCTTTCGTTTTGAATCTTATAAACTTTTTTATTGATTCTGGATTTGTTTTTGTTTGGGTGTTCTTTGGTTTTGAATCTTATAAACTTTTTTTATTGATTGTGGATTTGTTTTTTGTTGGGTGTGACCGTGGTTTTTACTTTTTCTCTTGTGCACAAGGAAGGTTTTCCATGTAAATGGTTGTCTGCCTGCCTACTATATCATTGCTATTTATGTCGTGGTTGCCATTGATTTGGCATAATTTGAAATTGGTACTTGTTGTTTATTCACTGAATGTTGAATATAACTCGTAGTAGTTAAAATTTCTTCTAAGAGTTTGGCCTATTAACAGTCTCTAGGCACAAACTACCTGTCTCCGCAATTTCATAAAATTTAGTTGACTTCAAGGTGACATGTTATTAATGGCAGTTCTTATCTCATTGACTGTGGAAAGAAAGAAAAAAGAAGAAGAAAGTAGATCAAGTTTGTTTTATGTCATGCTTGTAGCCTTGTTTGGATTAACTCTTGATTTGATTGAGCAGCTTAACATGAGGGATGGTGATCAAATTGATGCCATGATGCACCAAGATGGAGGTGGGCTGTAAGGCAAATGACTGGGTCCCAGAAGGAATCTACATAGCAATTTAAAACAAAAATAAAACCCTTGCAGATATATACTTTATTGGATCTGTGTAATGCAAAGGCGAAAGAAAAAGCATGGAAAGATTGTAATGTTAGCTTCCATTTAAACTATTAACTTTTCTATTTGGTGGTGTTCCTTTCTGGTTGACATGAATATGATACAAACTCTGGATATTGTTCTTCACATGTCTTCTATTTACTTTTTTTTGTTTGGTTCATGTTAGAATTCATTTGATCATTGCATGGTAGAGAATCTATTTGTTTAAGTAAGAATTAGAAATTGGATTAGGAAAAAAAGAAGAAGCAAGCACTAGAAAAGTGGTATTCTCTCTGTTAAATCATTTCTGCAATTTCATTGAATAACATGATTCCAATTTTGTAAATATATGTTCTTGAATTTGTGCTTTTTATAAGCTATATCAAGAACTATTTGAAATGTTTTCAATTCCATGGCTTTCTTGTGGAAGCATGGGTGAAATATTTTCATATTTTGCTCAAGCTTTATGTTTTCATTTCATTGATTTAATGGGATAACGATCATTGATTTTGGGAGCGAATATGCTTGTATGTCTACAATATATCTACTCAATTGTGAAATTTGGTTATTTTTTCTCTGCAATAATTTTGTTGTAATTTTCATTATAACAACATAAGTATGCACCAACAACAATGATTTCCTCTCGTAAGGCAACGTTCTACAGCCGGTCGCGGTCCAAGTTATGGACAAAGGGGGAGACCTCTATGAATTTCATTGATGTTCATGACATTTTTCTTGATTGTGACCGTGACTCTGTAAGTTCTGATGACTTTCATTAACTGTCCACGGTTATGCTTATTCGTCTAGTTTACCTTATTGTTGGAATTGATTTGGAAGTTGGAACTATTTGTCAGATAATATACCTTGGGAAGCCTGACGCCCCTACTTGCCACACGGGGGCAGAAACTTGCTATTATACTTAAGTTTTTGATCTGTTGGAAAATCCACAGGTTCATTTCTTTTCTCTGATATGACTTCGTTTGCCAGCATTTTGTTATTTCAAGCTATTTGTATCTTCTTTTGTTTTTTTGGGAATAAAATTTGATATTGGTTTGTTATAGTAGGTTGAGGGAAGCAAGATGGCTTTGACAACATTGTACTCGTTAGAATCAACAATCTCCCAACGGAAAGCAGAACTGTCAGGACCACAAAATGAGAAACCCTCGTGGTCAAAACGACTATTGCTTGATGACAAGTTGTTGTGCTCGAAAATCCGGTATCGTGAGTGCTATGTTGGATTTGTTGTTAGATACGTTTTTTCTTGCTCTTTCTTTTTCGTGAGTGATGCTTGTTTCTCTACTTGTCAAGGAAATAAAATGGTTATTAAAACAAATATGGCTTCTGGATGGTTAAATGATCATAGTTTATGCTTAGTTTGTTTCAGCCGAAAACGTTTTCTAATGAAAAGCTTTTTTTCAGAAAATGTTGTGTAGAAAACATATTCCTATATTTGGTTGGGACTGTGAAACTAATGTGCTGGTGCTGCTGCTGGTGTGATGGAGGTGCTGCTGCTGGTGGGGTGGCGTTAGTAAGATTTTAATGTGGTTAACTTTTTCACTTTTCAAAAGTGAGACATTTTCCACTCAAATAACCTTATTTTCTGTTGACTGTCATTTTCCATCATACCAGAGCTAGAAAATTTGAAAAGCATTTTTTAGAAAATGTTTTCCTCTGAAACTAATGGAGGCTGTGTGTTCTTGTAAACTGACTTATGTATGGAGCAAGAGGCAGATAAGTATTTCAATCTGAAACTTGCTTGCTTTGCAGGGAGGAGGCACACGAGTTGTGCCAAACGCTTGAGGAGAGTGAAGACAAATCAAGGACAGCCTCAGAAATGGCAGATGTTCTTTATCATGCCATGGTGCTGTTGGCACTAAGAGGTGTTAAAATGGAAAAGGTCTTGCAAGTCCTTAGACCGAGATTTTCACAATCTGGCATTGAGGAGAAGAAAAGTCGCAGACTGCAGCAATAAAGCATCAAGCTTATCACCTGTTGGGTATGCCTCTTTCAACCACCAGGTTATGGTCGATCACTAGAAACAGTTGTCCGCTGAACAGCTGATTATGCCACCAGATTTTTTGTTTTCAAGCCAATCACGGTAGTTTTAGATCAAACCTGGTTTCTTTTTTGGCACTTGTTATATGTATCAAGTGCAAAGTATATACGAGAGAATATATTTTCATCAATCTTCACTCAGAAGGAACTATGCTTCATTTTTAGTTCTGTTGCTGCAAAATTTCTTGTAACCCTTGTCCAGACATGTAAGATTGGATGCAGTTGTAATAATTAATTTGTATAATCAATATTCATCTTCACTTGGCTAATTTGGTGCACGCTGCTTCTTGTTTTTTGCCTCCTCAAAATGGCCGCCTATCTGTGCAACTTTTCTTTCCTTTACAAAATATAAAGTAGAAAAATGTATTGCATTATATTGCTCACAAATTTCTGCCACACTGATCCATTGGGTATTAGGAAACACTACTCACAAAATATTGCATTGAAAGAGGTCATTAAAGCTGACCCATGTAGCATTACAAGCAGATAAATTAATAAAAATTAAACAAACAAATTAATTAATGAAAAAATGGAAAGAAGAGTTTACTCCACAGGCAAACATTACACATGTTAATGGGATGGTAAAGAAGGAAACAAATGCTGGCAAAGTGTCCATACAAAGGAGGGTGATTTGAGAGCAGAGGATTGTTTGCGTGTGCTGGATCTCAGCCAGCTTAGCTTCGTACAATAACATCAAGGAGGACTAAGTGTGCACTTTCTAGCCTTAAGCACAAGCTCCTCTGTGGTGGGTCCAATGATCTCATTCGCACGCTTAAGACCTACACAGCTGTATCCATTCATATCCTGTATTCAAAGATTTCACTCTCATCAAAACAAGCAAAAGCGTAAAAGAATGTTATCAAATATTCCCCCTTACTAGTGTTCAACCAACAAAAATTTCATTTGAATTGAAGAAAGAATAAACTTGTTACTTGAGAAAAGAAGAAAGTGATATACTCACCCGAACAACAACGCCCATCTTCTCTAGCTTCTGAAGTGCATCATCCACATCAAAATTGCAGTTCACACCAAATTCTTCCTCAATTAGTTTTTCACACCGCAGGTCAAGTTCCTATTTCACATTATCACACAAACTCATGCATCAATAGCTTTGGAGAATCACAATCAATATAAAGAACATTGTTAAAATAAAATAAATAAATAAAAAAAAGTCAGCAAGTCATGCATACCTGTCGAGTAACTTTCCCCTGTTCCATCAATATGAAAAATGAAACCATTACCTCTTTTACCTGCACATTCAAATTAAGGGATTTTATAAGCACCTGGTTTTGTGCAATCACTTCCATCAAGGTTGAGAAACTCCTGATTGACTAGTGAGCCTTGTGAGTCAGATTCAAGAAATTCATCCCAATGATCCTTACAATTTAAAGATTCAATAACACTTTAGTAAAATATGAAACATAGATCAAAAATCCTTTTTAACCCAAAATTCAACCACTGCATATTTATGAGCCAGCTTAAGAAAGTTTCATATAGTTTCTAGTTGACTATGGCCCTCTTTGGTGTGGCTTATTGGAGCTACTTATAACTTTTGGTTAATTATTCATGAAACACTAAATAAAATAGGCCACGTGATACATATTAACTTTTGGTCTGTTTACACTACAGCTTGGAACTCACAGACAACCCTTAGACAACTGAGAATGCAAAGCCTATTAATCTACCACCAGAATAAGAATGATTCAATATCGATTAAAAAAAAGTTGAACTTCAAGGTTGGAAAAAAAATAAAAATTGAAAACAAACTTCTAGCTAGAAAATTACTTCTTGCTGAATCACATCATCACACAAGTGAAGAAGAGTGCCCTTTCCACTATCAAGTTGTTTGTCATACATGGACTGAGTAATTAAGTTCTGGTATGCAGCCATATTTTGCTGAAACCTACAGGCAGCAGGAAACATTTGGTAAATTAATAACTATGAGATCAACAGACTCAGACACGGCCACAAAAGTGCGCATTGCTCGATTGAACAATACATATCCACATGAATTAAATTTGAATAACAAAAACGCTTTACGTGAAGTATGTCTTAGCACAATAACCAATTACAGTCGAAAGGATGGCGAATATGACCCAAAGATCAGCTTTAGGCATGTCCAGTGAACCCACAACCGCAACCTGTAAAAAAACATGGTTTCTGTATTTTAAAAAAATGGTTAAAAGACGAGTAGTAAAAACATTTCATGGATATCAGGTACTGACCAGCCCAACAATGGCAGAACCCAGAAATGTGACCCAATCCATTGGCGTTAAACTTGGATTTTTCTTTTCTGGCTGTTTAAGGGTTGAAGTTCACCACGTCATTATTTAATAAGGGAGTAACAGGCTTTAGAAAAGTTAAATTACCACTAATAGAGCAAGAGATATTCAGGGCACAGCCAAAAACTTACAAGGACAATTTCCATATCAGCCATTGGAATGTTTCTGAAATGTTTTACAAATACTCCTCGTTCTGTTTTTGTATTGGTAGTTCCCCGCCTGCATAATCATCATGGTTGTTAGAAATCAACAAATTCAATGACAAACACCATAAACCCTTTCCAAGAACCCTTAGTAATAGTGAAATTTAGAATCTGGACAAACTTTCCATATATTCTCTTACAAACTGTCATGTGCTCAACTTCATGGGAAAAAATAACTTCCAAATTGGTAGTGAATATAAGAACTGTTTCAATAAAATCATCCAAAAAATTGATCACAACATTTTGAGTTGGAAAACAGAAGCTAGTACCTGTAAACAACAATTATCCTATCAAAGGTAGGTTCTTGGATGGTGACCTTGCCCAGCAGATTGGAAAAACTGGAGGAAGGGGAAAAAAAGAGGTCATAAAATTCCAATAAACATCAAGAATTCAAGTAGGACAACAAAATAATCCATAGGTCAGCTTCTAGGTGGTCCAAGAGAACAGTGGGTGTAAGAATATTTTTTTTTTTGATAAGTCAGTGGGGGTAAGAATATTTTAAGCAAAGACCATTAGCTATCAAACTGCAAGACCAAGATGATGGATGCTATTTCAAACCTGAGTTCCATATTTTCAAGAAGAATCCGCTCAACTTTTAAGTAATCTTGCTCTGTCTTAGCACGCATTTCATCATCATTTTTTGGATCTATATCGTGTGGTGCATTTAATTTTCTGGAAAAAACTCTTTCTAGCCTGCAAGCACCATAACCCCAGAAAGTTAAAAATAGAAAATGCACACAGCAGCTTAGTCCAACAGGGTGAGATACATTGAAGGGAATTTACAGACAACTTTGAACTCTCTGACACCTGATTGCAGTTCATAAACAATATATGAATTTTTATTTTATTTTATTTTTTTGTAGGTAGCAAAAATGTAGAAGTTACTTGCACAAGGGTCAAAATACTGGCTTAACACTGCTGTTGTGTTCCAACAGTTAGCTCACCTAGTCTTTCTCAAAAGCCATGCCCACAAGCGTGCAATGAGCATGTCCACTTTCTCCATGAAGAAGTAATTAGTTGTCCGGTCAATTCCAATGCCACGTCGGAATATTATGTACTACAAACAAATACATGGATTCAATAGAAAAGGCAAATTTGTCATTTATTATATTTCTCAACATAAAACAAGCACTTTATCCCACATAATTGGGATCAGCAATACACATCTTGCTCTGCCATTCTGACACAATAACCGTGTGACTAATGTCAAAATTATTACAATCAGATACTAGTCATAATCCAGACCTTGTTAAGTCACATCATCGAAGTAATTTGGACATTATTCAACAGTTACGATTCTGACTTTTAACTTGAAAATAAAATAATCTCTTAAGCTAAGATAATAATTAAGATGATCAAATTATCTCTAATTTCTAACTGCAAATTTAAGGCATCTCTTTTGAAACAACCAAATTATATATCCTGGATATCCTAATCTACTTGTAAAACTTTAAAAAAAAAACAACTATAAAATTACCTTTTAATGTTATTCTCTCCATAATGAGAAATATACAATGGAAGGGGGAGGGTGGGAGACAAGAATGAAAAATAAAATGGAAAGGAACTTTTATAGCTCAGTAGGATTATAGACTCCTCAAAAGGTGGGCCTTCATTTAGAATATGGAAGACAAGTTGGTAGTGATTGGAAAATTTGAAAAGTTTATTTTCCAATCAGCCAACGGAAATTTTTTGAATGGTTTGGTAATTCCATCTAACTCAGCTTCAACCAGGCCTCAAGTTTTGGGGTTCCATTCCACTAGGAGAATTCTGCTTTTTCTCCTATAACTATAAATGAGAGGAGATTTCAGCAGAGCACATGAAATTGTGCAATTTTGTCAGAGAACCACAAAAAAGGCGTAACCAAAACCTACACTGGCAGTTAGATTTACTCTTATAAGGACTGCCAATCAACTCTAACTCTTTTTAAGCTACATTTACAGCAATACCTTATCAGCAAAGTCCGGAAGATTTGCATGAGGATGCTCCTCAAAATACCTCTTCAAAAGCTTCTTGTCAAGCTGCATTTGAAGAAAACAAAAATGAGACTAGACATGAAAAAAGTATACATGTATGTATGTATGTATGTATGCAAACGAGAATATCCAGGGAATGCAGATATCAGTTTTTCACTTTTAACACACATGAGCAATTACAAACCTTAGATTCATCAACTGTTATAGGAAGATTTAGAAGGTACTGCCCCGATAGTGCAACATTGATCTCATCATTAGTAGCTATCTTGAAATTACTCTTTTCCATGACCTGCATGAAAATAAGAGAAATAGAACAAAAATTGAAAATATTTGGCGGAAATCAGTCCAAGAAAAATAAAGTCAAAGAAATAAACTTCAAAGATGACAAAAATACTCCCTTCCAGCTGCAGAGAAAATGAGGTATTTAATTATACTATTCCTGAAATCAGTTGTCAACAACCAGAAAGCAAAGTGCAAACACAAGAGTGTATCATAGACTCCATGGAGCCTCGCATGATTGCATAATGGTTCTTTAGAAAATTATTTAAAACAGAGACATACACACAGATGCAGAACCACTAAAAACCAAGACACATGGCCAATGAGAACAAAAAAGTGGGATTGTGAAAACCATAATATCAAATTTTAAGTGGAAAAAAAAAAAAGAGAGGATTTTGAGCAGTTGAGAGTTGTTACAGAAATAGGAACCACAAACCAGTGATAGGATCCCAAGAGAACTAATAGGTTCTATTGTCTTTTATGTAGAATTTGAAAATACAACCCATCATTCACATGCGCATGCATGAAGAGGTAGAGCCAGAATTTTTACTTGGGGCTAGACTAATATTACAGAATGAAATTCAACCAAGGGAGAAAAAAATACGTCCAAGAAAGGGCCTAATATTTGAAGAAAAAAAAAATTATGAAATAGGGTTGTTATTTCTCAAAATGTTTATGCAATCATTTTTTTTTTTTAAATGCCTTTTCCTGAAGTCCATTATCCCACATAACTAACAAAGCTATTGAAATCTAATCTAAATGGGCAACAGCATGAGAAAACGTGTTAATTTAAGACGGAAAAGCCAAGATACCTCAAATAAGTATGTCAGGAATTTCTGTTCAAAATTGTCAATCTCTTCAGGAGTTAGGCTCTGCTGCTCCAGTCTGCGATTCCCATGGACAGGATCAAGTAGGGAGTACAATTGCTGCAAGCACAGCAGGCAATGAATGAAAATTTGAAACAAGAAAAAATAGCAAATTCAGACTATAAATGAGTTTGTGGGGATTGAAGACTTCATTTTGATACAGCATTGAGACAGGACAATACCATCATATCCTCAAATTGCAGATTATACCAAGCACGAATTGTGTATTCAACTCTCTTGCATAGCTTATAAAATTCAGCCCGGTCAGAACTATTTTCTGCAAATTTTTTTTAGAAAACGCATTAAGATCATTTCATAACTTTGTCAGAAATCACAATTGTGAACCAAACAATTAACCTTTGATAGATAGAGAGAACGAAAAAGATATTATTTGTTTACACAAACAGTCAGTCATTACATTTTAGATATGATCTTTTTATTACGGGGAATGAAAGAAGACATGCGTTAGAATGCTAATTGACACACTGTGTTCCATAGACTCTTCTATTTACCCGTGTATACTGAATATGACAACGATAAGAGAGTGGGTTATGCATCCAACACCTGTATTCAATTTAGACACTTAGATACTTTAATTTTATATACTGTTTGAAGAAGAAGTTATTCATATTTGCTAGTAAGAAACATTTCAAGTTGCCCCTGGGGGCTGGGTTTAGCGGAAAGGGTCGGCCCAAAAATACTTTCAACCCGGGTTCGACTCTCCGTCGTCCCTCAGTGTGGTGCCCTTAAACGTTGCCTCAAGCAATGTCTTAGTCCGGGGCTGGGGTCTGATGGAGCCTGCATCACCCCTTTTTTTCGTCACCCAAAAAAAAAAAAAGAAAAAAAAGAAGAAACATTTCAAGCTAATAGAGATATAAATTCTATATTGTTCTAAATCCAATTTAATTTGAAGTGCATTTGCAAATAGTTTACAACATATTATTTAAATTTAAAAATATTATACATATATATGTATATATGTATAATTGTTTGACACAATGTTGTGGTAACCACACAAAACGTTTTGGATGCATATACAAATATCTTAAATTTTAGATTTAGAAATATGTGACATTTGAAGACAGAGCACCCAATACTTGTAGCTGAGTCCAAATAACATAGCTGACATGAGCAGTAATTATATTTACTGATTGAAATGAATGGATGTTAGATATTTAGATAATCAAAATTCATCAACTGGGCAAAAAATGAAAAGGGGTAAAAATCTGCAAGGGATCTCTACATATCAAAACCATGAACATAATAAATCCAGGGAAATGGGTAAACGACAAATCTAGTTTTATTTTCTTCGAAAATAGTAAAAAAGTATGTAACAACATAAAAATAGAACGTAGTAGAGTATGAATCAATATAATAAACAGTTCAGAACACTGACATACATCACATTAAACAATCGTTACGCATTTACAACAAATATTAAAAAACAAAATTAAAATAAATAATAAAAAAAATGAAAGAGAGAAAAACGGAGGAGGAAATAATACGAATGAGGTTGGACAAGGTGGTGATGAGTTTGGGCTTCAGAATTGGAATTACGGACTCTCTCTCCAGTCGAATCACATCTTTCTTCATCTTCTTAGTCTCCATTCTCTGTCTCTCTGTCTGTCTCTCTGTCAATAAATCTCAAAATCTCAGTCTCAGACTATCGCTCTCTTGCAATTTTGTTGTTTATGGTGATTTTAGAATCGCAGGAGAGTGTCTGTAATAAGTTTGGATGGTGTCTTTGAAGAGAAGGAAGGCTTTTGTTTGTATATTATTAAAGATTCTTGGATGGATTGAAGGGAGGGTTTTGGTTTGGATTCCAAATTGAGGAATTTTTAGTTTTGATACATATCACATGATGTACGTCCTCAAAAATATCACATGATATGCTACTACTACATGACATACATGTTTGACTGGGCGGTGTAATGTCCATGTCCACCATTAATTTTAATTTGTTTTCATTGTATTTGTACCACAAATACCGAGGGTTGTTTCGGCAAGTGGTTTTCATTTATACTTCCACACACTTAGCCTCTGTTTGGGAAGTGGATTGGTTTTTTGGCTTTTTAATTTTTTTGACTATTTTAACTTGGGTTAAAAAGTTTGGTTTGGGAAGGGCTTTTTGACTTTTTTGACTTTCTTTTGTGAGAGAAAAGTGTAATGATTATGGGTTGGATGTGATGTTTTATTTGTTATGACTAAAATAGCCTATTTTGTTTTTTGTGGCTAAAATAGCCAAAAAAGCCCAACCAACTTCTTCCCAAACGGTGCCGTAATTAGTTGAGAGAAAAAGTTAGGAATCATAAAAAAATTTATAAAAAAATTATGATTTTGAGATTATCTTTATTAGTATGCGGTGTTTTATTTTAAGTGTAATGTAAGGATCATAAATCTTTATGATCATTTTCATAATTTTTTTTCATAATACCTAATATTGCTCTTAGTTTGAGACACATACTTAATAGAATATTAATTTAATGACAATTTTAATGTACATCTTTTAAGTTAAAAAAATTAAATTCTAATTTTTCTATTGTTGTTTACAACGTAATACTCTCAAAACATATCTCATAGTGTTTTAATTGTCCCTTTCCATGTGTCATTAAATTTGGATTAAAAAAATATACTTATTATAATATCAAAGTTTTTTTTTTTTTGAAAAAATAGTATCAAATTGATTCACTTGTCCTATAAAATTAAACACAGTCTGTCAGTATCAAATTGGTTCAAATTGGTCTATCAAATTTTAATGCCTCCTCAAATGCCTTCATTTTAATGTCTCTCAACTATAACCCTCGAATGCTTTCATTTTTCAATGCCTCCTCAAATGTTCTAAATGGTACCGATTCTCCATAGTACCGATGTTAATGGGGAAGAAAAATGAAGATCAGTATTTGTTGGCTTATTTTTCTTACAAAGGAAAATATCATAAATGCGAGCGTGCCAGTAAAGATTGAAAAATCCTTACAGATTAAATTCAAGTCAATTATTAAGCGATTGCGTTGATAGTTCTTTTCCCTCAACGAAGAGGACTTCAAAATTGCTAAGTGTAGAGAAAATAAAAATTAAAAGAAGAATGAGGGAGACGGAGAAAGACGATTAAGTGAACAATCAAAGTAATAATTACTTACTCCTACTCCTATGCTTCGAAAAGGAAGTGCATAAAATGCTTCGAAATGAAAATGCTGAAAATAAATGCTTCGAAATATAAATCTATGTTAAACTACTCCTAAGATAAGGAAAATAACAAGAAATATTGAAATCAATTGTCTTTGATTATGAATTCTGGATCCTTTACAATGTAACCATTAATGGCTATTTATAGAGGAAAAAATACTGTAATAACTACTTAGTAACTACCCATTTCTTCCATCTTCATTCTTGTCTTGCCATGTATCCTTCCACTCATCTACTTTGTCCTTCATATTCTACATCATCTCTATAACTTCTTTTAACTTTCAAATGAATAAGAGGATGCCATGTGTCTTGAAAATAATAATAATAATAATAATATTTTATGGTGCCAACATTACCCTCCGCGGCCTTTAAAAATGATATTTACTTGAATTTTTGAAGGGGTGAACCAAGCACATGACTAATCTAAGCAATAAAATGCTTCGAATAATATCAACAAAGTGCTTCGAATGATATAATATCACCAATAAAGTGCTTCGAATGATGTAATAGCACCAATAAAGTACTTCGAATGATATAATAGCACTAATAAAGTGCTTCGAATAAGTATGAAATTATGACTAGATGATCAATAACAAGCTTCGAAGGTGGTACAAAAGACCAAATTCATCGTTCGAAGCTCTTACGGCACAGTTTTGAAGGTACAACATCACCTCTCGAAGGTTGGAAGCATTGGTATAGGATAATGATACTTACAATGAAGTTTCAAGGTTAGGCTTGACGCTTCAAATGTATCTTTGAAGATTTATACAGTTTCAAAGGTGAAGTAATCAACCTTCGAAACAACTCTTGATGTTTCGAATGTATCTTCAAAGCTTTATACAGCTTCAAAGGTGAAGTAATCAACCTTCAAAACAACTCTTGATGCTTCGAATGTATCTTCGATGTTTTGATTGTGTACATACAAATAACTGGCCATCAATTTGAAAAGATAAGTTATTCTCAACCACTTATTTAAATGCATAGGCTTTTCCTAGCCAAGTTCATGCATTTATGATATTTTCCTTCGAACTCATAAGAACAATTTGTTAATTTTATTAGCCACATCATCAGAATTATATTTTGGTGTGATGCATAAATCCAAAATGAATTTCGAACAACAAAAGTCATGGTATAGTGTGACCATGAAAATTCATACTTTTTGACATTTTGAAAAATGTCAAAAAATTTGAATTCATGAACAGTGGCTTATTCATTATTTTTTACCATGTTTGTTTTAAAAACATGATTTTTGCCGAATAAATTTTCATAATTATTTGGCAAAGTGGGTTGTTTTTCCATGTTAGCCATTAATGGCTTATGAAAATCACCCATAGATATGTTATTTTCATGACTTGACTCTCTAAAAATTGGTTTTGAGACCCCCCGAGCCATGCATGGAACATCATTCTTAGCCAAATTTGGCTCAAGAACATGCTCTTTCGTTATGTTAATTTCATAATTTGGCTCTTTAAAAACGGACTCTTGAACCCCCCGAGCCATTGATGAAATCAACTCTTTGCTTTTGCTATTTTTAACCATGGAGAAATTCTGAAAAAATTCACCAATTCCGCCCATTAAGGCCTCAGTTAAAGACTTGGTAGTGTGAGTTGATAACTTATCATTCCATTGGCGAATTTTCATATCAAGTTGATGAATTTCTCCAATTAAATGGTGTCTTTTTTCTTCCACCAAATAATATTGTAAGGGATGAAAATTTATTTCATCAAGAAAATGGATCTCTTCTTGAAGATCCAAAATTTCTTGTTTACGCCAATAAATTTCATCTAGGCTATTTGAAATGAACAAATCCAATTCATTTTTCATTTATTACACTTGACGTCCCACTGGGTGTGCCAAAAATTGTTGGCTTATTTTTCCTACGAAGGAAAATATCATAAATGCGAGCGTGTCAATAAGGATTGAAAAATCCTTACAGATTAAATTCAAGCCAATTATCAAGCGATTGCATTGACGGTTCTTTTGCCTTAACGAAGAGGACTTCAAAATTACCAAGTGTAGAGAAAAGAAAAATTAAAAGTAAAATGAGGGAGACGGAGAAAGACGATTGAGTGAACAATCAAAGTAATAATTACTTACCTCTACTTCTATGCTTCGAAAAGGAAGTGCATAAAATGCTTCGAAATGGAAATACTGAAAATAAATGCTTCGAAATATAAATCTATGTTAAACTACTCCTAAGATAAGGAAAATAACAAGAAATATTGAAATCAAGTGTCTTTGATTATGAATTCTGGATCCTTTACAATGTAGCCATTAATGGCTATTTATAGAAGAAAAAATACAGCAATAACTACTTAGTAACTACCCATTTCTTCCATCTTCATTCTTGTCTTGCCATGTGTCCTTCCACTCATCCACTTTGTCCTTCATATTCTCCATCATTTCTATAACTTCTTTTAACTTCCAAATGAATAAAAGGATGCCACGTGTCTTGAAAATAATAATAATAATAATATTTTATGGTGCCAACAGTATTCACATTGAGATTAAATTGGGTTATAACCAATCACAAGCAAAAATTCAAAATTTCTATATATTCTTTTTCTTCCTCATCTATCACTGGTCTTTGCTCAGGCCTTCTAGTCCCTAAATAAGGCAAAAAGCACAAAGGCTTTTCTTAAGCCTGGCCGTCCGTTCCAGCTTCTTATGAGAATTGGATTATGCCCCAGGCTCATCCTAAGTTGGGAATCACAAATTGACGTAGATGATAGAGGCAGAGCAGACGCTGTGAATAGGGCTTACTCATTTTCCTTAGCTTCACTCTTAGAGCACTTGCCCTATCTAAGAACAAGTCGGGTAATCCCCTATAGAAGGTGCCCCAAGCCAGGGGTGCTTGCTTGGTCCGGTTCAGGGTGCTTTGACTATTTTCAATACCTGCTTCGCTGGCGGGAATGAGCAGGGCAGGTACAGAGGTGGCGATGAGGGAAGGGACAACAATGGATCAATTCATTCAACAAGATCCCTTCGGATCAGACCATGATGAATGGGATTGGTCTGACCTCTCGCTCTGTAAACCAATTTGATAGACCATGTTGTATTAGACCTCTCAAGAACCTTCTCGGCCAAGCAATGCAGTTCCACACAGTGAATGTGTAGTTTTTCACTATGTAAACATAAAAATCCTAAAACCAAAAGACCAAACAAAAGCTTCAGACCCCAAAAAAATAAATAAAATAAAATAAAAAAATAGTGTGGAAAAGAGGGTTGAGTGGTGTGTGTATAATGCTTATGAGTGAAGGGTATAATTGTAACTTTCAGTGTGTAGATTGAGAAAATTAATTAATAATCAAATTAATAAGTGTGTGTACTGAGAGAAAATGTGTACTGAGGTAATTAAGTGTGTGGAAATAGAATTTCCCTTATAAGTTTCGGCAAGTGATTGATTACAATAAAAAAAAATGTAAAAATAAGGAGGTGATGTGACGAAAATAAGTTTCTCCCCAAGTAAAGATTAGATTGATATTAGAGCATTTCCAATCCAAATGTTTCATCAAATTTGAATTTTATAAAAAGTGTCTTTTTTTGATGTTCTAACCCTTTCACCAAATTTATATCAGATAGGGAGAAAACTAAAACTTTTATCAAATGAAGGGAATCTTTTATCTTTTATCCAATTTAAATTGTTACTGTTGGATTGGACATCCTCTGAAATGTCCACCCAAGAGTAACTTTGACAACTTTTTTGTTTATGTTCGGAC